TGAAACCACTTGGAATTGGTGTGGCTCATAAACCAACAAGTTCTCTCCAAACACTATTATACAGACCAAAGGACGCAAGAACCAAAGAAGATAAACCGAATATCAATTACCAAATTCAACAGCAATAATTGTGGTCAACACTACATTGGACAAAGTGGTCGCCCTCTTCGCCTTCGTCTATTTGAGAACACCAACTGGCTATTGAATGTCACACACGACATTTCATCACTCATTTTGGTGCACGTAGATAATTATGGACATGGATTCAATTTTGACAATGTACAAATTTTAGACAGGGGAAACACCAAGAATATCAGAGAATTCCTACAAGCTTGGCATTTAGGTCAGTCAGCAGTCAACAGATATGTGGATATAAACCCAATCCATCAACCGATAAGAAAAATGATAAACGACAGAAAGGTCAAAGTTGAATCAGAGGAAGAGCCATCAGAAAAATCTATTCAGTCAGTCAATGACACAACAATCTCAAACCAGTTCGTCAGAGTAAGCCACTAAATCACTGACATAAAGATATTGACAGCTTACTTCATAATGAAGTTAGTGCTGATGATGTCATCTTGAAAGACGATGAAAACTTCACGATTAAACAGCCCAGCTGAGAGAACACAATACAACCAAGACAACACAATCTGTTCGTTTCGATGATTTCAATGTATGATTCTTCAGATGGGGTAAGAAGCCGTATGAACTCTGCACCACATCATCAGGATGTTATTTTTCGAGTTCTCTTAGTTTCAAACAACCATTTACATTTTCAGTCAACAAATGGAAGCTCATAGGATCATTTGGAGGGGATTCGTCCTGTTATAGAGTGTTTTTCAACAGCCTTTTCACTCCGATGACTCTGAATGATCAGTTCCAATTTTGATTCACAGATTTTTGAAGAATTCATTCTGAAAATGCTCATATTTGACACCAAAATATGACTCTTTCCCATGGTGACAAGACTGTGAAAGAAGTTTCTTAAATTTTCAATGATGAAGTTACGCTAGTCTTCCTAAACTCCACATTTCATAATGACGAAAAATGTACAAATGAGATGTTGCAAAATGTTATCACATGATTAGACCTCGGTACTTGAAGCACAAAAGTAAGGCTCAAAGTTGAATGGAAAAACGTGTAATACACAGTGTCTATGGAGGCTGTTTTCTATTCCCAGAGGAATCAAAGTCAGATACACTCTCGTAGTATGGTGATGCAACTGTCTTTTGCAAACAAGTTCTCAATTTTCAAGGTATCTCCTGTTCACACTACAGGATATGGTGTTAATTTTGTATTTACGATCTGGAGTTACCCTTTTTCGACTGGAATGAACTGAATTTGCCAGATTTCGATCAGACTACAGAATCGAATATAAGCTATTGATCACATAATGATTGGTCATTGGAAACCAGTAACTACGTTGATTTAATCAGCTCAGCTTGTACTGAACATTTTGTTGATTATGTAGTGAACGCATGTCATAATAATCAGTTATTCAATAAGGTTATCAAGTAGTATATCTATTGATACTCGTAATTTCCCTTTGTTATACAGGGTCGAACTTCTCAGCCTCTGATGGCAGATGCTGTCTGTGTGGATGCCTTGATATAGTAGTCTATTTGGCAGCTAGCAGCGGAATTCAAGACGCACGTTTCATGCTATTTGGGACTTGTCAGCTGGTGGACTACGTGCACCGTAGTGAATGGTGTTGTCCCCACTGAGACACGAACCCTGTAACCATCACTTCAAACTCCAAAATCTTATCCACTAGGCTACTTGGACAGGACAGCAATCTCTTGTGTAACAGTTACTAGTAATTGCCAAGAAGCAGTTAAACGTACTTCATCTTATCTGTTCAAGCCATCTGGATTCAGCCATACATATAGGGCCTCGGTACGAAGCAAAGCTCTTTTCTAAAACCTTGATTGCATCAAAGTCAATGGATGATTTCATTGATGTTTATTAGAAAACAGTAAGTCAAATCTATAAAATTTTTAGAATAACAGTAATTGGATTTCAATCTTAGAGATATAAAGGACGTGTAATTACATTGAAGTTGGTGAGTTTTAGTAGAATGGGAGACAGGTTCTGTGGTTATAATAAAAAAAATCACTTATGTAACTGGCCAAAAATTTGATGGTTTGAATACTTTAGCTCGGTGAACTGAATCAGTCCAGGTGAACCATGGATAACTTCATCCTTGAAAGATCATCTTGATCTGGCTAGGAAGCACCAGTGATCAGCATCAATGGTATACAACTATTCAATTCAGTCTATAGTATACTTCTCACAGTCTTGATGCCAGTTGTTGATACTGAAGAGATAACAAAGAATATTCCACACCACAGGTGTTTTAATCACTATAGAATAGTACACGTCTGGGACCAGCTGACAGTAGTCGATACATTCATATCAAGCTATATGGAAAGCATGTAACATATTACATCGACTCTGCAGCTGCATGACTGTAACTTTCAGTGTAGATGATGGCAATGACATTAAAGGTCATAAAATACTTCTCTTTGTTTTATGAAGAACTACTCAGAATGCCGAAACCTGGTTGCTTATTCATTACAGCAGTCGCTTGGGTGAAGTTTGAAGTCACTCGATGAAGGCGAAGCTGTACGATCTAGAAGCGTGTAATTTATTATTGAACCAGTGGACTGGGATCCAGTGGTTAACATTTTCCTATCTCTGTTATTTTGTGACATATTCTGTACATAATCCAGTCCACATTAGTGAGTATCTATTCTCTTATCTCTAGCGGGGTCATGGAAAAATGCTGCTGAAAGGGGCTATAGCAGGACAAGATAGTTGTCCAGTCAGTAATCCCAGTTTTTCAATGGCTTTCCAAATGGTACTAGCCAATGATGAGGAATGTCATCTTGAAGACAGAATTAGTTATTGCTGACAACATAAAACAGATGAACTTGGGGAATATTTCCAAAGGCCTGTTCAAACGTAAGAGGGTGCATATATGGAAGGCATTCCGTATTGTATATGCTGATCTATTTAACTTATAATATAGTACTTGTTTCATTGTTGTGACATAGAATATCCCATCTCCTTCTGGAATGCATGTGCACAGTATTCCAGACTTAGATCAGTACCAATATTTCAAAAACATCAGAGACGGTTAATCTTGGAGAGACATCGACTGCTTTATTTGATTGACCCAGAACTAAAAATTGAATCCAGGACAAAACTCTTCAAACGCCAGGGTGTCACTGAACTAGCCTCTGAGTCACAGTAGCCACTCCTTGTGTGACAGATATTGTATAGTCTTTGATGATATACCTTGTGCACCTCCGCCGTCGACCGGATCGAACAGATAAGCCACTATTAGTATATGGGGTCGTGTGTGTACACCTCAATATTGCCAGTATTTTCAACCTTATCTAAGAGTGGAATACAACAGTGGTTATCTTTACTCAGTTACCTAGTGGATCAGGCTCTGGCATTTGAAGTGACTGGCCATCGGTTCGAGTCCTTATAGGAACAACGTCACTCAGTGAGGATTGGGGGGGGGCTTACAAGTTCCAAATAGGAGGAAACGCAAGTTATAGATTCGACTACCAGTTAATACTGATCATTCCTATCAAAACTGAGAATACCGGTAATGTTTCGGTATCCATACAGCAGCTCATATACCAATGGTGGCCGATTAATTCTGTCCAATCAGCAAACAAAGTTGTCCCTTCTATCTTAATAAGATGTATAGTGGGTAAATAGCGTCTTAGTTGGTGAATGCATGCAAAGGATTGTTTGTTTGAAATTACCCAACTACTGGATTTCATGACTGTATGGTGTAGCAATGAAGTGTATGGTTATATCCTGTTGAAATAAACCATCAAACCTTTTTATTACTGCCAAGTATATATGTAAAATAAAGCAAATCTCTACATCAAGGTTATTCATTAATCATCCAAGCAACTACTGGTTATGTCTAGACTGGTGTATTCATACTTAGTATTCCACTGATGAAAGCCCGCCTAGTTAACTAGTTCACTAGTTACGAACCGGTCCTAAGACCAGATAAAGAGGGAAGATTGGGCATACGACTAGCAAACCTACACCATAAAACAAATCCAACCACTAAAGAAACTTAAAAACACAAGGAAAATATAAAAAATAAAGATAAACTTATTCATCGATGGAATTGGGGAGACGAAATGACACCAGTTGGTGAAAGCCTTCGGCAAGCCAATTGGTCACTGTATCTTCTCTTCTCTCGATGAAAGTGAAAGTAAGAATGGGGATATGGAATGTCCGAAGCTAGCAAGGCTAACCAGATTGCAAAGGAGATGAGAAGGTATTGCATTGAGGTGCTAGGAATCTGCGAAAGCAGATGGAGTGGAAGTGGACTCTCCAAACTGTCGAATGGAAAGTCAATAATCTACTCCGATATTGTCACCTAGATGACAACCAGGAGCACACTGAGTTTTCGAGTGGCTATCATGATATCCCCAAGAGTATCAAAGGCTCTCATGCAATGACAACCAATCTCCTCGAGGATCATACCAAGAACTTATCGCCCAACAAATATGCAGAAGAAAGTGAAGATCGATTGGATTGGGCATACACTGAGGAGACCATTCGGGGAGATGACGTGCCAAGTCAGTCCTTCGAGTGGGACCCGCATGGGAAACGACGAGTTGGGCGTTGGAGGGTGACATGGAGGAGATTGTGTGAGAAAGAAATGAAAGTTTGTGGGGAGTGGTGGGGCCAGGTTGAAAAGACTTCAGAGAAGATAGTGAAATGGGGACATGCTACTGAAGCCCTATATTCCACTAGGAACCGAAGGGGCAAATAATATATGATAATAATAGTTGGTATCTTGGATAACTGGATTATACAGTGTCAAGCTGATCCCGACTAAGAAAAAAATCAATCATTAGGAGATGGGACAACTTTCTACCAATCAACTATTAATAAGAATTGGCAGCTTATTCCGGTTCACTGGATGTTAGGCATAACATTTTTGAAGATGGCTATTTGACCGAGTTAAAAGTGTCGTAAGTTTATTGTAAAAATGATACCATCTGTCTTGATATTTCCCTTTAGTACTCACGGATAATTACTGTTGAAAGTTATAAGATGAGATTCAATAAACATGAAAGAATAAAACTTATGGAAACAAATAAAAATTATAAAAATTTGCTGAGATTTGAAAATGTGATTAATAAACAACAGAAATTGTAATCAACTTCATCATTTGTAGTCAAAGTATTGATACCCTTCACAAGTAGCAAAACAAATTGAAAATTGAACGTCAATAAATGGGAATTCACTTTAGCAAAACAAAGTTTATTGGCAAATATTTGAATAAAGTAAGCTTTATAGAAGAAAACTTATTTCATTTTTTGATTATACTTTCAAAAAAATATATTTTAAAAATAATCACAAATTCATGGTTAGAAGTAATTAAAATTTTTAAAAAAATGAACGTTTCACAGAAGTACAACTTCATTGAACATTGAACAAATTAAATTATAGATTCATATTCAAATTTTGATAATTCTATTCCTTGTTCTACTTTTCAAGTGAGATAGTAGAAGTGTGCGTTCTTCTGGAATAATGAATGCTGCCTTAGCTGCATTGATATTTACTTTATTCAATTGAGTTTGCTTCAAACCCAATTCTCTGAGACAATATTTAGCCTCATCTAAATTCCATTTCTGTGTTAATGTTGGATCACCTGCATTGATAGAGAAATTCACATTGTCTTCAATAAAACGGTGTATAGGATGTTTTTCTGAACTCTTAGAGTTTACAGCACCGGTTATAACACTTGATGATGGACATAACTGTTGTAAAAGAATGAATTAAATAGTTATTTTTATCCATCTATTCCATAAAGCTAATCAGTATCGAAAATTCATTTGTAGTTTTTTCATCATTAAGCATTTCATTGAATTACCATTTCTTGTAAACATTCAGCTGGACACACTTATAACTTGAATAGATACAATCCACATTATAAAACTTATCATTTCAACTACTAACTGTGGTTCAGATAGATTAAACTTTGTGAAAAATATTTATAGCCTAGAATCAGATCCAAGTAACCTCAGCTTATTACAAGCAAACAAAAGAAATCAACCAGTCACATAGTTGCACACCCTACTCGGAAAATTAAAGAGAGAAGTGTAACCAATCAGGTTCAGCACACGCCTATGCGGCCACAAGGCTACTAATCAGGTTACACCTAGGCACATTGTAAAGAACCCTACATCACCAACTACTTGATTTCCTAATGCACTAGTGATGACATCTAGTATGACAATGAAACGTTCGCCAAGGGAAATCCTAACTGATTGAACAACTAACTTTGATGATTACATTTTAAATGTCAGTCAACTTAGTGTGAATCAACAGTTTAGGCAAATAAATAGTCTGAAACGTCTTCTACTTTGCGACACTGTTTTAAATGGCGATACCAACTGAACCTCGTAGGTCAATTGGTAGAGTATCGGGTAGGTGGTGGTCGCTGGTTCAGATACGGCCACGATCCAAATTCTCATTTCACCTTCAATCGTTACCCAGTATAAGTACTAGTCTGCCAAGATACTCCGGATAGATTACATCGTGGAACAGGAGGAAGAATAAGAAAGTCGGGCAAAGAAAGACTGATCAATGTTTCCTTTTGAACATAGAATTCTTATGTCAGTCATTTGATCATAACACCCTCAGAAAATTTTAGATGGCTTGAATTATGTCGTTTGTAGATTATCTTAATTGATTTTATGGTACATACTGCAAATCCTGTGTCGTTCCTCTGGAGTGTAGGCTTTTTTGTTATGTGTTCAAAAAGCCTACGAAGCACTGATAAACATAGTATTTAGTCTTTGCCAACTTGCGCGTATTCTTTGTCGACGACAAGGGAGATATTTAACTATCTATTAAAGAACGAAAATACTGCACTGTAGATCATTTTGTCCTGCTGAATAGTTGTTACAAGTTGTTAAAGATATGAAGCGGTTAGACATTTTTCACCATGGGTGTCTTCTTGGCATTGGTCTTGTGCTTTGGAATCACCTTGTTAGAAATGTCTGGGTTAAGCGAAGGGTACTAGCCAAGGAAGACAAGTAATTCCATGAGATTGTGAACCTTCATTGAATGAGTTGCTTCGGACATGCGTTGTGTACACCAAGCGAACACCTACCTCAACGTCAAATGCCAGAGGAAGTTGTATTAGTTTGGGAGAGGGTTCAGAGTGGCCGTTTCAAGATGTGACACCAGGTCATGAAGTCTGTGACTATTGGTCTGAGTCGTATAGAGAGGTGTAGACTACCTAACTGCTGTCCGCGAAAAGATAACAGCCAGTGGTTGAAGACTCTTGGTAGCATGGCTAAAAGTCAGTCACAATGGTGCGGATATGTGAACTGTATGGTGTCTTCTAAAGCTGTAATGTTTTGGCTAACTTTCATTTCTAAATTACTTCTCCTTGCATACACGTTTGTCTACTGTGATATCAGTCATCTTCCATCCCCTTTTGGTTTGCATACTTCTGTGAATTATGGCAGTTTGAACCGAGGTTATACGTTGATTTTGTCTGTCTGCCATTTTAATGTTGAGCAGCGTCTCTTGGTGTCAATATTATTATCCATTTGATCACATTTAGCGCATAACTTTATATACTAGTTAGCACTACACCGAACTAACCTTAACTAGTGAATAAAGTCTGTGCAAGGAAAGCGAAATTTAGAAACTACTCAAAACTACATAAAGTATCGCTCATCAGAACAAACATAATTCAGTTAACTGGTAAGATAGTGGTGCAATGAGTTCGCGTGCCATTTATCAGTTGGTGAACAATATCAACACTGAAGTCAAACTATAAACCATCTTTATAGAAAACTCTTTCATCTCAACTGTTGAGAAATGTTATTTTGAAGGCCATTCATCCCTAATTAATGGTGATGATAAATCCTAAGGTTAGATATTCCTAGTGATCAGTTGTTAAACAAAAAACTATATTGTTTCATCCTAGTATAAGACTCCTCAGTAGTATGTGGCCACGAATCCGCCTGAGGTAGAAATCACCACCTTCAGGATTAACGGTAAACGAATTAATCATTCAGCCACTGGATAGGAGGTCAATAGCCCTCATAAACCTTAGACTATACATTATATATATATATATATATATATATATATATATATATATATATATATATATCATTCAGCTTACCTCAAAATGGACATTCTCATTGACAACATAATTGTATAAATCATTGTTATCAAGAATACGATGTCCATGACCAATACGTTCAGGATGCAAAGTAATCACTGCATTGTATATACTATGCGCTGAAGTATAATCACCAACATTTATTGTACGATGAATTCCATAGTATTTGGCTTGTCCAAATGTCTCAACTATTTCTTGTGCTAAAGATTCTTTACCAAAAACCGAATCATCACCTAATTCAAGAAAAATAGAGACATTTTTTTTTCCAGAGACACTGAAGTATAAAAGAGTCAATGTTTCATAGCATACTGACTAGTCAAAGTTTTGATCTGTTACTGAGCAGAAACAGAAATGTATCAACCAATTTAAGTGAATGGGATGGTAAAATAGTTGAGATTTTATTGTTTTGTACTGAATTTGAAACAATTAAGACACTTGTAATTTCCCGTTGCTATATAGGGCTGAATTGCTTAACCTCCGTTAGCAGATGAGCTTCTATGCGTATGCTGTGATACTGCCAGATATTCATGATGTTATGTTGATATTGGTTACTAGTAGGGGAATTCAGGATGTGCGTTACGTCCTATTTGGGACTCATCGGCTGGATATACCAGCTTCTTCTTGAGGGATGTTATTTCTGCTGATACTCGAACCCTAAAGCGTTATCCACAGAAGTTGAGAAATTTGGCCCTTTATAGCAACGGCGAATTACAAGTATCATAACAAACCGATATCTGTTCCATAAGAGGTGGCTACCGTGCCGCCATGGCTTAGTGGACAAGGCTTTCGAGTTTGAAGCAGTGGGTACTGGATTCGAGTCTCAGCGGGAACAATACTCACTAAAGTGGAGGTGCATCCAGCTGTCGAGTCTCAAGTAGGATTAAATACGCATCCTGAATTCTCCTGCTAGTCGTCAATATCAATATGAAACAATTTCCGTTTACTACATCTAACCAGTAAATCATCCTTTTGAACTGAAAGTAGTTCCTTCATCTGATGGATAATGAGAACGCATTATCCCTCGAAAAGTTTGAATTAGTAAACTGTTACATTAATCGCATCTAATAAAGGATTATTTTTATTAGTGTTTGTGAACACTAAGCGTCATTGTAGTTAGATTCGTCCAAATGTCTATAACATGAAGAACATGCTCAGAGAAAGTAATTTAGATATGAGACTTTCTCATGTTACCTTCAATTGTTTCTATTTACTGACCCGTACTTGGAGTAGCATGTATGTCAGAAAAACGGAGAGCTTTTTAGGTAAAAGAATTTCTGAACATGTACCGAAAAGCTTGTCATTGAGAGAGGCAAGGTTACCTAGTAGTAACATTAGTAAACATATCCTTGCCGAAGGTCATGCAGGTCGACTCAAACACAGCGTTCAAGGTAATCAATAGACAAAAGGAATTAGTAGATCGCTACGTTATGCCGAAGCAGCAGCAATCCATCGATTGACACCAAACGTGTATACGAAAGGAGTTTGTGACTCACTTTACATTGTATTGGTACATTGTTTTATTCCCAACAGCTTTGTTTACCTTTTTGTTCTTTCGTCTTATTTTCTTACTTAATGCTCTCAAACATTATTCATATTGATACTAAGTGATGATTGAAGGTGAAATGAAAACTTAGACCTGAGTGGGGTTCGAACCAGCAACCACCGAGTTTCTGACCCAGTATTCTACCAGCTCAGCTACAAGGCCTGATTGTTGACCTGATTTCCATTTCACCTTCAATCATCACCCAGTATCAATAATAGTCTGCCTAACCATAGATATCTCAAATAGTTAAAGTGATAATCAATATGATACTCCCTCTCTCTAATTCAGGTAGATTTGGATGAGAAGTCCTGACTAGGCAGGCAGTGTCATTACGATCAAGGGATAGTAACGTGCCACAAATTCCTATGGTAGTCAAGCAAAACTCTTGATGATTGAAGTCAAATAAAAATTTTGTCAACAGTTGGTAGAGCATGGAGTCAGAAACCCAGTGGTTGCTGGTTCGAATCCTGCCGCGTTCTAAGTTTCTATTTCACATTCAGTCATCACCCAGTATCAATAGTAGTCTGCTAAACCAAGGTTATCTCAGATAGTGAAGATGATTATTCATATTTCCGTCATTTTTGATTTATTTTAATCGATTATATTTTAATCATAGTTTTCAGCATATTCTTTTCCATTCTTCAACCATTAAGCCATACATTTGTACACCGTATTTGTTGTTCTCCATCTTCCATGAAAATTTCTACCATCCTGAGATGCATCCTGGTAGCCTGCATTATCATTACGTCGTATTGTTTTATTTGTGTTTACTGATCGATTTTATTGTCTGATTTTTTATCTTACTTGCCCCTTGTATTGATTGATAAGGTTATCAGTTCTATCAACCATCTTTGCTTCCACATATATGTACTGATGTCTTAATGTGAAAGGTGAGTTTTGTACTAATTTTACTACGGAAATGTATCAAATGACTTATACCGGATACATAATATAGGATTAAAACCTAAGCACTGTGGTTGATTTTAAGTCCATTTTAGTCTGTTTGTTAGACATAGTGAAACAATAGTATCATTTACTGGATTACGTTTCCCACACAACTTATTGTCCATATTCATATCAGGTAAGGCAACTCTACAACTTTGTCAGAGTAGTAGTAGTAGTAGTAGTAGTAATCTCGCCTGGTTAACTAGTCCACTAGTTACGAACCAGTCCTAAGACCAGATAAAGAGGGAAGATTGGGCATACGACTAGCAAACCTACACCATAAAACAAATCCAACCACTAAAGAAACTTAAAAACACAAGGAAAATATAAAAAATAAAGATAAACTTATTCATCGATGGAATTGGGGAGACGAAATGACGCCAGTTGGTGAAAGCCTTCGGCAAGCCAATTGGCCCCTATATCTTCTCTTCTCTCGATGAAAGTGAAAGTAAGGATGGGGATATGGAATGTCCGAAGCTGGTAAGGCTAACCAGATTGCAAAGGAGATGAGAAGGTATTGCATTGAGGTGCTAGGAATCTGCGAAAGCAGATGGAGTGGGAGTGGACTCTCCAAACTGTCGAATGGAAAGTCAATAATCTACTCCGATATTGTCACCTAGATGACAACCAGGAGCACACTGAGTTTTCGAGTGGCTATCATGATATCCCCAAGAGTATCAAAGGTTCTCATGCAATGACAACCAATCTCCTCGAGGATCATGACAGCAAGGTTCAACTCAAAAGGAAGAAAGGTCACAATCACTCAATGCTACGCACCTACAAATAATGCAGATCAAGAGAAGAAGGAGGAATTCTACAGACAACTGCAATCAGTACTGAACAAGACCTCAGTTGGCGATATCAAAATTCTAATGGGCTACATGGATGCCAAACTGAGAGCGGAAAACACAAGAAGAGAACTAACCATGGGTCGAGAAACGCTAGGTGAGGTGATGAACGAGAATGGAGAATTGTTTGCAGAATTTTGTGTATTCAACGATTTGGTGATTGCAGGTAGTGTGTTCAAGCACAAGGATATCCATAAAGCGACATGGATTTCAGCAGATGGACACACTATAAATCAGGTCGATTTCATTTCAATCTCAAGAAAATGGAGACGCAGTCTACTCGACACAAGATTAGATCAAGAAGGGGAGCAGATGTAGGTTCACACCACTCACTGTATAGTGCAAGGAACCTTCCAAATCAAGTTGAAAGCCTTCAAGGAGGCTGGTGATAGACCACAGTTCAAGCACAACACTCGGAAACTAAAGGACGAAACTACAAAGGAGATCTTCACGGTAGCCATCAAAACAAAATGGGAGATATCGAGAAACATCTCTGAAGAAACCTGTGTGGAAGAACACTGGAAGTCTTTGAAAGCTGTGTGGAAAGAAACCTGCATAAGCGTATTAGGAAGGAAGAAGGGAGAAGATAAGTAATGGATCTCGACGTACACATGTAAGCTGATAGAGCATGGAGAGGAAGGTAGTGATGGTGAAGCAGAAGATAAACCAGTGCATGGATGCACAACGAACTGAGTTAAAGGTATAAAACATTACACTGGACAAAGAAGTGAAGAAGAGTGCGTGTTTGTGTATCAGATAACCAGGTTACTATCTAGGAAGAGATCAACACAGGTGAAACCAATAAAAGATGAAGAAGGAAATTTAATTACAAAAGAAGAGAAACAAAGGAACCAATGGGCCGATTACTTCAAAAAGCTCTTGAATCGACCACCACCTGCACTTCGTCCAGAAATATCACCTGCAGCCACAGAACTACAAGTGAACATAAATCCTTCAACAAAAGTGGAAGTCCTGAATGCCATAAAGCTACTGAAATGCGGGATGAGATTGAATCCCACCAGAAGCACTGAGAACAGACGCAGAGACAACGGCGGACATGCTCACACCACTATTTCAGAAGGGATGGAAGGAAGTAAAGATACCTATCTATTGATTGGAAGAAGGGTTACCTTGTCAAACTCCCGAAGAAGAGTGACCATAGAGTTTGCAAGAGCTGGCTCGGAATCACTCTCCTGTCCACCCCAAGTAAAATATTAAGCCGCATCATTCAGGAGGGACTAAAGGATGCACTGGACTCAAAACTACGACCGGAACAGGTTGGATTCATGAAGTACAAATCATGTGCGGACCAAATTGCAACGCTACACTACGCATCATCATAGAACTGACTGTAGAATGGCAGTCAACCCTCTACCTCAACTTCATCGACTTTGAAAAGGCCTTTGACAGCGTCGTCTGAGAAGTAACTTGGCAGTTGCTTCAACACTACGGAATACCACAAACCTTTCTTTATCAATCTCATTCAACAACTATATGAAGACGCCACATGCCAAGTAATTCACTATGAGAAGCTCAGTGATGCCTTCGAATTGAAGCGAAGACAGGAGTAAGACAAGGCTGTCTACTATCACCCATGATCTTCCTGATTGTGGTTGAGTGGATCATGCAACAAACAGTGAGGAATGAGAAGAGGAGGATACGCTGGACCACGGAAAAGAACCTAGAAGATTTACATTTCGCCGATGACTTGTGTCTGATGTCACACAAACTTGATGAGCTGCAGGCAAAAACTAACAAGTTGGCAGAAGAGGTGAGGTAGGGCAGCGAAGACGGGACTTCAGGTGAATATAGAGAAGACAAAGATTATGAAGATACCTCACCAACAACACCACCAACAGCAACAACAAGCTCCAATCAGGATGAACGGGAGAAACTTAAAGGAAGTAGCCTTTCTCACCTATCTAAGCAGTACTGTTTCAACTACAGGCGGCACAGACGAGGATGTCAAAGGCAGCCAGGATCGGAAAAGCAAGACAGGCGTTCATTAGACTGAAACCAGTGTGGAGATCTTCTGCACTCAGCATGTGGAACAAGGTTCAGATTTTCAACACCCATATCAAGTCAGTGCTCCTGTATGGTTCAAAGACTTGACGCGTTACGAAAGGGATTTCTAACAAACTACAGACATTCATCAACAGCTTCCTACACTGGCTCGTTACTGAAGATCAGATGGCCGGAAATAATAAGCAACAAGGAACCCTGGCCACGAACCAACCAGGAACCTATCACTCAACAAATATGCAGTGGGAGCAAGTGGAGATGGATTAGGCATACACTGATAAGGCCGACTGGGGACATCATGCATCACACCAGGCACTCCAGTGGAACCCCAATGGGAAGCGATGAGTTGGGCGTCGGTGCCGAGAGTGACATGAAGGAGATCGTGCGAGGAGGAAATGAGAGCTTGTGGGCTGTCGTGGAGCCAGGTTGAAAAGATTACAGAGAACAGAGTGGAATAGAGACGTGCTACAGAACCCCTATGTTCCATTAGGAACCTAAGGGACAAATAATAAAATAATAATAATTATCTTAACTGTTCTATTTCTTCTCCCAACCTTCAGTTTGATATAAATTGACTTAACAAGTAGATGTATGATCAGAGTGTTCATAATATATGGCCCAAGTGCATTACCTTGTTCAGATAATCTTCCTCAAGAATCAATGTTCGGTTGGGTAACTCGCCTTTCCCTACACTAACTGAAATGCAACACAACAGTTTCAGTCTGACTCCAATTATCAAACGATTTACATGAGAAGCATGAAAAGCAGAGATATATACTGCATTACATATTGCACAAAACGTCTCCATCGACATACTGCCATCAGAATAAGCAGAGAATCTAAATTTCAGTCGTCTATTTATCACTTCCCAAAGTTATGAACTTGTCAAAACAGAAATACATACTAAAAAGAATCATTCATCGCCTCAGTAGCTTAGTGGTAGGATGTCTCATTTCAGTTTCGAAGGATGCATGTCTGAACCAATGAGGGAAATCCAATTTTTCAACGGTTCCGGATAGACTGTGGTGATAAGTGCCAAAAGTAAGAAAGGTAGGCTGCTGCTGGTTTACCTTGAATACATAATAACAACATCAGAAAGTCTTGGTATCAGTGATTTGTTCTTCTTTCATACTTCGAATGTACTTTTAACAATTTAAGTCTATAATCATAGTCATGAATACTAATTTAATTTATTGGTTAACAATGTAAAATTAACATAGAACCAACTTTCCAATGCTTTACTTGTTAATATTCTGTTAGGTTGCGTAATATTTACTTCCCAGACTTCTGAAAAAGCTGAATCTTATCGAAGACCTTCAATACTAATTAAATCACTCAAAAACTCCCACCAAATCACATAACAATCCACATAAATATCGGACTGAACACTTTCATCAAGTTTTCTTATAAGAACCGTTTATAAATATTCTAGAAACGCGAAAATCTCCATTAAATATGTTAATACCGCGATAACAAAACAGAGGAACGTAGCTGATTAATTACATAGTAACTAAGGTGGCCAGTAGTCACTCAAAATGCGGAGTGACTCTAAAGGCCACTTAAGCAACAGCTAAACTAACCAATCAGATTTTTATACTTTATGAAGATCTGTCTTTCTAGTCGAAATACAGAAATCTTATTGGTTGTTTCAGTTGTTCTTAGGCTAGGCTTTAGAGTTTTTTAATTAAGCAACTTTAAAGGCCACCCTAGTAAGTGATGAGGTAGCCAATCACATTCCTTTATTTTATGGAAAAGTACTTTGCCAGGCGGAATGAGGAAGTCTGATTGGTCATTCCGACAGTTGCTAGGGTGTTTTCTAAAGTCAATCATGATATGCTGTTTAAGAATTCGAAATTAATGTTCAGAAGTAAGAACAGTACTGATTACTGTGATAAGGATTTAACTTTAAGCATGGCAATTCGTTATCTACCTATAAAAAGTACGCGGTGCTATAGCTCAGTAGGTTTAGAGAGATGACTGCCAGCTATTGGGTTACAGATTCCAACCCTTTTTCGCCTACCGAGGTTTGGACAGTCAGGTAGTATCACTAACCTTCACACAATGAGTGTGTCTCATTGCCTATTGCATGAATATTCACAAGGTAGCTGAGTGCGTTTAGTTACGTCTCCTTATTAAAAAAGTAGTAGGTCACTTAAAAAACACTACTTGGTTATTTCATTCTTGAAGATGATCACTAGGAACAACAACAATTGGATACACTTTCATTTGCCGTGTATGATGTGAAAGTAACTGATATCTTACTGGGCCACTTCCTATGAATTAAAATGATTGTATACACATTGTAAATCAAGTATGATGACATACAGCTGAATAGCTTAGTAAATAGGCTCGTTACCTTCGGTTGAAACAGCTTATTTCAGTTAAGAAATACAGAAATTACTACTTACCATTGAATAGTAGTCTTAGTACTTTTATTGTCCTTCAGCATATCCGAGGAAAGGTTTAATTAAATTCAAAACACACTGAACATACAATAGGAAATTCTTTTTATACAGTGATATTCATTATGGACTACTGATAGTAGTTGAAAAATCATTGAAAATCTGAGAGCATTGTTTCATCTTAGTCTTCCAGTCCTCCCAGTTGTTCAATGGTTATATAACTAATATTAATAGTCCATGATGAATACTACCTTGTAATATAATCAATCTT